GGCCGTTGTTTCCGTGTCGATCGATCGCGGGACCACGCGTGTCGCCTATTCTTCCCGGTTGGAGACCTTCGTTCGTCACGTTCGTCACGTTCGTCACGTTCGCCGAGAGAAAGAGAGATAGCCACGGAACTGTACAACCAATCGTCGTGAACACGTCGCGTACACGCTCCAAACGAACAAAGAAAGACTATTTTCGTCTGGCCGTTTCATGGAAGTGACCCCGCAGCCGGTGGCACGTACATCTCGGTCCCTCGTATTTAGGTCGCAAGCCACGTTCTCCCGCCGCCCTGTACCGAACCGCGCAACGTTGGATACGAGCCTTGTTCCAAATTTAGTGCCGGGCACGGTCTCGAAAGGCTTCCATCCCCTCCGACCAACACTTTTTGGCGCTCGTAAAAGATTCTGAGAACGGAACCGTGCATTGTCGAAACCGTCTTCGTCTGTTATTGCACGCTTACTTTGCCATCGGCACACGCATACACACGAGACACGCCAACGATCGCCAATTCACCGAAATCTACTACGGTCTGGTGATGCAACCTCTGTCACGATACTTGCTCGTACTCGTTGTACGATAATTAATAGACGCACGATATGTACAATACCGATCAACGATTCGAGTATAGCCGCATCGTCGGTTTTCTAAACGAATAAGAGTCGAGTCGATGGGTTCAATCGTGATTTCGCGACCATGAATCTTTCTACTCGCGAACCAGGTCATCCGGTAACGTTGCCGGGGATCGGAAAATCTGATGGAGTTGGCGCAGCTTACTTAGCTGGAAGCATCGTCGACGTTATAAATTGCAGGAACCGCGGGAAAAAGAGAATAGATCAAACTTGACCTTAAATTATCCGAGCCGCACCTAAGAGATTCAGACAACGTCAGGGCGCAGACGTTGCGCGTGTGAATCGACCAATCTGAAATTTATTGTTCCGACGAAGGTCAAGCGTGGGAACGAAAGAGGACACCGCACCGAGCGCCTCGACGCCTACGTACCAACCCACTCTATCCGTGTAACTCGACGTCGTTCGGTACACACACTCCGCTCCGAATTACGTGCGATCGTAAATCAACATTTATGCCGAAGCACTCCTGTCTTATCCGGACACAGATTTCTAGGTTACAACTAACTTAAACTGGATCGATTACTTTATCTCGCGATTGCGCACAATCTAAGTTGTCTATCTTGGAGCGCGAAGGCTGACTCGCGATCCGATAGACTTTCCGTCGCTTTACTGCAGGAGATTGTCTGCAAAAGATAAATTAGGCTGATTTTTCTAACGCGAAAAACAAATGATTTGATCGTAAACATTCGTGTAAAGTATACATATGCATATAGAGGGAATTCTTAGCACGGGACCTTGCCAAGACGCTTGATGTTCAAGTCACGCCTTACTTCCAATTATTGTGTACGGTTTAGTCACGCGTATTCGTGAATCAGTAGCAGCGCAAGAGGTTAAAAGCTTCTTCGCGCGTGCTTTGCGCCGTGTATCGTGAACACAAGAACTTTGTTTATTGCGTTGGAAGCAGGGATACAAAGAAAGAAAGCACGATGATTAACGATACTGCTTTGTTTCTTGACGTATCGTTTAGAGCTCCGAAGATGACTAATCGATTCGCGAGAACCTGATTTGGTTCTCGCCAAAATGACAGTAACAGAGACTGTTAAAAGATGAAACGGAGCAATTTCCCCGAAGGAAAGTGCATTCGAGCAGCTGTGTCGATTACAATGGGAGGGAATAGTACTTTCTGTATCGGTAAAATGAACTCGTTCACCGGATCGATGCGTCACTGTACGATTCAAGAACTCGAAAGAATATTTGTATCGACTATCGCCACGAGTACGAAGAATGGTGGGGCTAATCCAAGTCGAAACTGGGTCGCATTTGACGCGATCGGTACAGCATAGTCCCTGTCCTCGCCTCATAGATCATACTTTTTTCGCTTTGCTTTCGCTTCTTATCGGCTGTCTGACCAAGAAGCTGCCAGTTCTTATCTAATTCTTCCCTAGGTCGTGACACACCATTGAAATGAAAATAGAGGAGATTAAATTTGTACAATATTGCACATGCCGATGTACGATGTACCAAATACGCACTCACGATATTAACAAACGCTATTTACGAGAAAAAGGAGAATGGATCGGTAAACTTCCACGCAACAGGCGTTCTTGATTCGTTTCACGAACGAGCATAAAGCTTGTCGTTTAAACTTTAATGATCTTTGAAGAAGTTGCGTCACAAAAAAAATGTTAAAAAACTAAGTAAATATGACATCTACACGGTCTTTAGGTGATAAAATTTGCTTCGTAAATATAAAAATAGACAGCTAAGTGTCAACAATTAACGAAACTTTGTGGATTGGCACATATTACGGACCTCGTACACGAAGGGTTAATTCTCGCTTCTCCTTCATTTTTGCAATTTAATTTGTCCGAGCGTCGAATCGACACGATGATGAAATATCGATGAAACGAAAAGATTTTCACGGAACAAAACGATACGACGACCATACCTAACTCAGACCTGGTTTTTTACATGTATCGCTGCGCACATATTTGCATTCAATATAAATATTTCCAATTTCAATCAAGGACAGGCGTTGACGATACTTTTTATTTGTTTTCCACGACAGATTTAGATATGTTAATACGACTAAGGCATTGCAAGCAAAACTACCTAATAGGATTGCAAAACTGTCATCGTCCATCTGTTCGCTTTGCGTTTACATTGATAGGTGCGAATCGTTTCGTCAAGAACGTCTACATCTCCTCTCCTTGTATTATAATATTTAATTTCCTTCGGTAAATTTTTGAAAAGAAATGTAGGCAATCGAAACAATGTCTCGTAAGTTTTTTTATAACATATTAACTATTAAAAACTTGAAATGTTGCGTTGCTCGATTGCTCGATCGCGTCAAGGGTTGAACGACCACGCAGACGGTATGATCGAGCAGAGTGAACGATGCATTCGCGCGCGACAAGGACAATGGTAGTAATTGGTAACGATCAAAGTTTTTTTACAGGATATTTTTCCACGGGTCTTAGGAAATCCATACTATCTCGTAATACCATAAATGTCCGTAACGAACCTGTTACGTACACTCCGACAAAATGATCGAATGAAATATAGAACGCGCCTTAGAGTTATTCTGTCCGACAGCTGCGATAAGATGTTTCCTTGTTTCATCGGCGGGCTAAATCGGTCAATTCGCGAGTAAACGTTTCCTCGAAGCAATTGCGGCGGTTCGAAACTCGCACTCGAAGAGGAACCCATCATTTAGCAAGTTAAACGTCCCATGGACGCGTGCCGTCGTCGGTCAACGTTGTCCGTATACTTAAAGGCTAATTGGAAAGCGGAGTGCTGGTAATTTACCGTTTATCCGAGACGAGGAACGCGTCATCGACTATCGCGGTGTCTATGGTTTAACGTGCGCGTTCTTTTCTACGTTTTTTTTTCGCTCCCCGACCTGTTTCGTTCGCGCCGCGTACACACCAGTGGTCTAGTTCCGGAGGACACGATGCTGCGGTCGACGCGAATAGTTGTTCGGGGTCAAACGGTCGTTCGGGCAATCGTTGTTGCTTTCGAGATTTAGGTCAAACTACGCCCAGAAGCGAATCGAATCCCCTGCAGTTCCTGGTACCTTGAACCCGCCGCGCCGTGGCAACAAACCGTCGATATCGATTGCCTTCGTTCACGGTATTATACCGTTCACAAATTAGTTATTACTCATTGATGCATATGTCTTTGGTAACGATACGTTTCGTTTACGCCAATTCGCGGTCAGAAAATTTCGGTCACGCAACACCATAGCAAGAGCAATAACCTTATACGTAGTGGGGTGGTGAAGGCGGGGCAGGTTTTTGCGAGAAATTTCCGTTCGTAATAAGTTTGACGCGTTCCTTAAACAAATCCATCTACAATTTACTCCGGTACGACTAAACGCGTTGAAAGTCGCACACATGCAGAATTTCGTTCGTAACGCGGCGACCGGTTGTCGATCAGGCTGTTTCGTAAGAAACACCTGCGAGTCATTATCCCTTGCCTACCTTGGCTTTCCCCGGCAATAAAGCGGTTCGGTTTGCCCTCGCAAAACGATGGAGCCGCGCTCTCCTCCGCCTCGATCAATGGCACAGAATAATCGCACGTGTCTGTTACGCTAATCCAAGTACATATTTCGCAAACGTTCCGAAAGCTATCGAGCCCGAATTTCGAGCTCGTCGTACCTCTTGTTCTTCTCTCTCTTTCGAACGAGATCTTCTCTGGTTTTTTCGCACTCTGCGTGTGCAGAAGCACGACAACGTAACAGGCGCGAGTTTCATTTGATTTCAGAAAGAATCGAGGGAAACGCGTTCCGTTCCTGAATAAACATTTTCTATTTTCTTGTAAACTCGGGCTGGCCGGCGCTGAAAATAGCAACCGAAGCGACGGCCACGAAGCTTCGGCGCCACGACACGATCCACGATACGAGTATGTACACACACACGCACACGGATGATGTATATTATAACGCGAGCTTATCGTTCGCGAGGTAAATTTAGGTCGCGAAAACGACAAAAGAAATTTCATGCAAACGCGACCTTACTTTCAAGTACAAACACTGTTTCGTTTCGGTGATTCTCAAGGCGCTGGTGTTTCGCGAGAGATGATCAACGATCGCAAATAATATAACGCCGCCGCGCAGTTTCACCAAACTACGGCTTCTGTCGGGAGTTTGAGAGAGGATATTTCGGTGTCGAAGGCGCGGTCGAAGCAACGATAAATAAACGATGGAAAAAGAGAACATCCGGATATTCGAGAGGGCGAGATCACGGCGCTCGCGACGCTGCTCCCTGACATTTTCGAAAACATGTGCTCGGAAACGTATGCACGAATAAAACTACAGCGAGATGTTATCACGATTACCGATCGATTTTCCGCGCGAGCAAAGTCGGCCAATGGGATTCCCCGGCGTTCGACTCGTCTATGGACACGACTGACTGTTCCGTTTTACGTTACAGTTGTCTACTGCGACTATACCGCCTCTGGAAGGTCGCTGCAGTTTCTCGAGGATTACATCGCAAAGGAGGTGCTACCATGTCTGGGCGATACGCGAGCGTCCACGTCCATCTGTAGCTTGCAGTCCTCTCTGTTTAGGTAAGTCCATTCCGAAGATACGCACGCCATCGAACGATCGAGGTCGCGAACAGAATTCGCGCGCTCGTTAACGGCGACTAACGACACATCCGCGTTCGGTACTAGAGCCAATCGTTTCCCAGAATTAATTCCAATTACACCGTTGGAAAATAGCTCTGTTAAGAAATAATCGGCGCGGCAAATCGATGAAAATCGAACCTTCCTCGTAAGTACATATATCGCGGATTGGAAAACATCCAGCGATCGGTGGTGCGTTAAAAATTCCTAATTATCGATTTCCTATGACCCTGCGACATTAATACGAACGTGTACGATTCCGGTTAATGTACAGTATCCTCGATAAACGCGACTCGTTTTCTGCGTCGCTCGAGCGTTGCCTTTCTATTTCGCTCGGAGTAGGAACGATTGTACGTTACGTTGTTGGTTTCCTGTAACTCGAACGGTTCGAAACCGATCGGCTACGATATAGTCTCGGATGCGAACGAATCGTTTCGCGGGCAGAGCCGTCTCGTTATCCTTAAATCTTATGCAAACGAACGTAAGGGTGGTTTTGCTCGGCGTTCCGCTCCCTGGCACTGACGTCCCGGATCAATATCCACCGACGCGAGCGCCGACCACTTACCAGCTGATCGCCCGATCAACAATCACAATAACAATCGTGTATTTGATCGAGGTTGATCAATATCGATCGTTGGCTCGCGATCAAAACTAGCAATTTTATGCCATCGAGCTTGTCCGATGCGGTGCAATTTCGGTGGTCGAACGGGAGCCGGTGTTTTCGATACGATCGTCGACGTTTTTGGAATTGTTGCTCCCCTCGGCGCGGCGTCGCGGCGTCGCGACTTTGATCGTCCGTGGGATAAGTCGACCTCGACGTCGCGACCTCAAAGCTACCAAGAAACACGAGAAAATCTCTCGTACGCCCTCGGTAGATCTACCAGTCGCGTTTTTACGATCGTTAATGTCGACGGAAGGACAAATCGATATATCCTGACGTTACAGACACGAAGCCAGAGACATCGTCAGACACGCGGTGGGGGCCGGCGAGCAGGATGCAGTGCTGTTCACGGGTCAAGGCACGGCTGCTGCCCTTCGCGCGCTCTTGCGACACCTCGATCTCACGGGATCCACCGTCGTCTTTGTGGGACCGTTTGAGCATCACGCGAATCTACGGCCTTGGCGGGAGCACGGTGTCAGGGTAAGAAATATATAACGCGCTCAAAGCTACACGGAAGAATTTTTCAACGGTGAGTCAAAAGTATTCTCGTCGCAGAAAGCGTCGGTGTAGCGTTTCATGGTCTGGAACGATACTCGAACGTTATCGAGGACGTTGAACGAGATTTTAACGAGAATGCTTCTAAATCACCGACCGTTGCTTTCGAGCGTTGATTTATTTCACAAAGTTCGGTAATCTGCAAATAGTATCCAATTCGTTTCCAAGGAATGTGATCGAACGTCGAGTCTCGCGCGGATACGCGACTGTAAATGTTTTATTTTTTCCTCGAGCGAACCTAGATTCCGAAGAAACATTTTTGCCTGCTCGACGAGCGATAAAACGCGAACGTATGGCACTTTTTGCCGCGGAGGGAGGACATTTTCAGCATTTTAAAGTACGATCGAAACGGCTTAGCGTGCTGTATTTTTTTTTTTTGCGACCCACCGTAATATTCTTCCTAAAAGTGTTTGGTTTCGCGAATGGATACTTGATACAATAACAAGCGTCGCCGTTTATTAATGTTCGAACGATCGTTACAGATAGTACGAGTATCCGAAACCCGGGAAGGTTTCTTAGATCTGAACGATCTCGAGCGAAGTTTAATGAAAGTGCGAGCGGACGGTGTCACGCAAATGATCGGGTGCTTCAGCGCTGCGAGTTGCATAACCGGGGTTTTGGCAGACGAAGTCGCTACGACCCTTCTTCTGCATCAGTATGGGGCGCTTAGCGTCTGGGACTACACCACCGCAGGTAATGATCAGCCGATAGAGGTCGAAACAATGAAAGGTATTAAAATTCATGTAATCGATCGGCGAGAAAAATATCGGACGTTGTCTTAGGAAAGTTGATCTCTTAACGGCGTTTGTTCGTATTCTAAATTTATCTTCATCTTCTCAGCCCCGTACGTTCAGATCGATATGAATCCTCACTTGCCCGGTGTCGGAGAGACAGCCGTTCACAAAGACGCGATTATTTTCGCCGGACACAAGTTCATCGGCGGGGTTCAATCACCCGGTGTGCTCGTGACCAAACGGTCTCTATTGAAGGATAAAATTGGCACGGAAGACATGAGGGATTCCCATCACTATCATCGAGACCCGGAGCTTCGCGAAGAAAGCGGTACCGCCGGGGCCGTCGAGACCATCAGATGCGGACTCGCGGTTCAATTGAAGGAGAGCGTTACACCGCGAGCGATCGTCGCTCGTCAAGATAAGATATCCAGGTACGATTCTTCTCCTATACGGTAGAAAAATAACCTTTCGTAATAAAAATTATCGAGATCGAAACCCGCTCGCTTCCTGTCCGTCTCCCATTAGGCAAGTGTTGGCTCACGTACGCACGATTCCGGAACTGATTCTGCTAGGCAGCGGTTCGCAGAATGTTAAGAGGCTTCCCATCTTTTCGTTCATGGTGCGTCATCCGCGAGGCACGTTTCTTCACCACAACTTCGTGTGCGCCGTTTTAAACGACGTCTTCGGCATACAGGCGCGCAGTGGGTGCGCGTGCGCGGGTCATTACGCTCACGACCTGATGGGAATCGACCAAGAGCTCGCCAAGGAATACCAAAAAGTTCTCATAGAGGGGTAGGAATATAGTTCGAAATAAAAGTTGCGTCGCGACGAACAGTTAAATTAGATTTTCTAACGAAACTATGCTTATTTTTAGCGAGCGGAGCAACGCGAACGAGGAGACAAACGCGGAAGGTCTGAGGCCGGGTTTCGCGAAGCTCTCGTTTCCGTATTTCATGTCCGAAGCGGAAGTTGCCTTCGCGTTGGAAGCACTGAAAATGGTAGCCACGGAGGGTTGGAAGCTGCTACCTCAGTACGCGCTGAATCCGGATACCGGCGAGTGGCGGCATCACACAAACAGCGTGTTCAAAGAACGAAAGTGGCTCGGTTCGATCAGATATACGGATGGGAAAATGAACGCGTCCGAGAGACGGGTGTCCGGGTCGGGCGTCGTTCCGCAGAACTACGGCGATTGTTTGCAGACCGCGCGAAATATTTTCAACCGCGCGAGGAAAATGGCACAGAGATACCCTCTGCAGATCGATCGTAGCCACAATTTTGTGTCCGAACGGATGGAAAGTCTGCGATGGTTCATGTTGCCGAGCGAGGCGCAAGATCTTCTCCTCGGTAACTCGCAAAACGTGAAGCAAGACGTGCCTTTCAATCCGATGTTGTCGTGGAACCGATTCGGCCATCATACGCCGACGACCACGCACGACAGTCTAGTGAATTGCTTAGCTCTTGCGAACAGCATCCGTCGGCTAAACAGCGACATTCCTCAAACGGGAAATGCTCCGATCTCGGCCATGTCGCCCAGACACCGTAGCCTTCCAGCCCTGAGCACCGTCAAGCGGACTCTGACGAACGTTGTCGAGACCAAGCCAAAGTTCCCGAGTCCCTGTTGTAGCCGGAACGAACAGGAACGATCGCAGAACACCGAGCGAAACAGCGACTCGACCGCCGGTCAAAGGTCGCCGGCTACTTGCCCGAGTTCACCGAGGCCCGTCAGATTCGCCGTTGGCGAAGCTGTGACGCCTACGGCTCTCGGTGGGATCCCTTACCCGAGCAACAGGCCGACCAAAGAGCAAAGGGATCTGCTGGACAGCGCGAACGCTGGACGTGCCAGGTGCAATTCCCTAGGTAGCACCGGCGCCGGGGAGAACCTTTCTTCGGGCAATCGCAAGGTAGCGTCCTCGTCGTCTTCGCCTATACCGCCGCTTCCATTGAGCCCGCAAACCTTGACCAGCTTGGGCCTGGCTGGAAGCAACGTTAGCTCGTCGAAACACAGGAAACACCATTGTAGCTGCGGCATTCAAGTCGAACTAAGTTACGTGGACCTGGACAACGAAAGTCCGAGTCACTCGATCTTGTCGTTGAATTATCACAACACGGCCTCGCCTCCGTCTTCGTACTCGTCCGTCGGCGATTACGCGGAAAAGTTGGTCGGCGGAGGTAGGTCGTCGCCGATTTGCACCAACAGCGGACAGAGATCGGAGGACGATCTGAGCGCGTACGTGAAAGAGGTAACAAAGGAGCTGGCAACGGAAATCAAGTCGGAGATCCGTGAGGTGATTTCAAAGGTCGACGACGCGCTATCCGAGACCAACACGTCCGAGAGTACTCCGCAACATCATTCGCGCAACCTCGCCGCGATCGGGCAACTGTCGGCCGAGGACAAACAGCTCAGACACGATTCGTTCACCGCCAGCGACATCGCGGAATACTTGATGGAGTTCTCCAAGGAGATGGCCAGCGAGGTCAAGTCCGAGATCAGATGCATGGTGAACGCGGTGGACGGACTTCACAGGCACTCGCCGGACGCTTCCGCTTCCGACGTGTCCTCGAACGGATGCGGTTCCCCCGATAGGGGCAGAATCCTTCCATCGTCCGCGTCGCCGAGACTCTCGAGCGCCAGACGAAGCGGACCGATCGAGATCTCGGGAAAGGTCGGCGAACTGACGCAGCAAGAGAGCAAGATGTCCAGCGAGTGTTCCTCCGACGAGACCGTGATATACGTGATGAAGCCGGCCGAGAACGAGCAGCTGGTTCGCAATCAGTCGAAAACCGACGACGAGGAAGTGGTGCACGACCTGGACGACGACCTGAACGAGGACGACGCTCACGAACGCGGCGGCTTGGATATCGGCGACGCGCGAAAGATTCTTCCAAAGATCTATTCCGCGGTGAATTCGGTCAGCTCGCAGGACAGCGGCATCAACTTGTCCTTCCACGAGAGCGACAAATCTCTAGACTCGGTGGACTTGAAGCGCAGCAGCAGCGCCGAGTCCAATTCCACGAACAGCTACGGTCGCAAGCCAAGAGCCGCGTCCATGACCGGTATGTCTAGCAAATCCAATTGCAAGCAACAGGTTCGCCAGAACGACGACTTTTCGGAGGACGAGGAGTGCTCGAGCGATCTCAAGGAGGAGGAGGATCAAGCGGTGCCGTTCGAGTCGAAAGATGGCAAGACCGAAGCGTCGTCTCAGGTACAGTGGCACTGTCCGCCGAAGAACGTATGGAAACCGACGGTCGAGGCTATGCAAGAGTTCGACATGATTCGGGACAACGATAGAGTTTTGGTCTGCTTGTCCGCCAACGGTAAGGATTCTTTATCCCTGTTGCACACGTTGCATCAATACAGATTCTACGTGAGGTCGAAGGGCGTGGATTTCGAGATCGGCGCCGTCACGGTGGATGCGAACGAATCAGATTCGATCGCGATAATTAATTATTTGAAGACCCTGGACGTTCCTTATTTCTACGAAGAGAAACAAACGACCGTCGACTCTAAATGCACCGGCAGCGGCGAGAATCGACCGGAAGATCCCCTGGACACCAGCGGGGCGTGCAGCTTTTGCAATCGAACCATCAGAGCGAAACTGTACTCGGTCGCCAAGCGACACAATTACAACGTGCTGGCCATCGGCCAGCATCTCGACGACCTCACCGAGGGCTTCCTCGTTTCGGTGTTTCACGGTGGCAAGTTGAAAACCATGAAGGCCCACTATTACGTACGCCGACACGATATCAGGGTCGTCAGACCGTTCGTTTACGTTCGAGAGAAATCGCTGAGGCAGTTTGCCGAAAACAAGAAGCTGTTGACTTTGCGAGAAACGGGGTCATGCGACCTTCCCGAGGTAACTTCGTTATTTATAACTATAATTGTCACAGTTGCGCGCGCGAGCGCGTCTTTAATTAGACTCGATCGATAGCACCGTCCAACAAATTTTCACTATTTTCAGTTTCGTAATATCCGCTACGAACGCGGAACCAGAGTTGCTCTATCGTTTGTAAAAATACGGAAAGTTAATTTTAAAATAACTCTTTTTACCAAAATTTCTATCTCTGAAAAACTGACGGTGATTAGTATTTAAGGCCCGTTCCAATCGTGAAAATTGCTTTGCAGAAGCGGAATCAGAGCAAAGAGCTGATCGTCCAGCAGGACCGCAGCCATCCTCGTCTGTCCTGGTCCTTGAGATCGGCTTTGCGACCGTTGATAGACGCCCATGGACAACAAACCGATTCGGACGGTGCTTGTGGCGTGGGAGGTAGCGGCGCGAACAGTTCTAACCTCGGTAGCGGCAACAATAACGCGAACAACCAACAGAAGAGACATCGAAGAGTAAAGGTTAATTCCCTGACGACCGTTTCCGCGGTTCAGGTGCAATCGCAGGGACACGATGGCGACGAAGAGACCGACGAAGAGCCGGTCCTTTGAGGGAGACCCGTCGCGAGATGGGATTCCAGTCGTTCTTCGATCTCATCCGTGCACCATCGTCGAAAATTACCTTTGCCGGCCTTCTCTGTCGTCAGGAGAAGGCGATTACGTTTCGCGGCTGTCGCCGCCACTGGAAACGTTCAGGATCCCGAGGGAGAATGCTAAGGGATCGGATGGTAGCCGAACCGCGACCTACGGATCGTCGACGCTTGGAAAATACGGAGACGAGTTTCGGTTTTCGCGGTTGAATCGCGCGTGGCTCGCAACCCTCGTCCCTCTTTACCGAACAGTACTCGTGTCAGTGGCGCGTGTTTTGACAGTTTTAATCGCTCGACGCCTGGCAGGGTGTCGTTCAAGAATTTATCGAACGTTTCAGGATCGTGAGCTGGAAAGGTTTTGTTGTTCGCTGATACGAAAATACTCGCGGAAGTTTAGGAATATTTTCGAATTTCGTATTGGATAGGGGAGGATTCGTAATGAAACTTTGATGCACGAAAATAGGAAATTTTTCTCGAGCTGCAGACGCGACGACGGGTATCGACTGGTTTTTGTCTTTCAACCAGGTGTGATCTGGATCCATCTGTATCTAACAGAAATGCTTCAAACTACTTAAAACGTTGTGCGCGGTTAAATGTTTTCTTACCTATGGACACTTAGCGTTTAACGGTTTCGGCACTTTGAGACTTCGGTTGAACTTTTCGAGGTCAGCAGAAGCGTTTTAATATTGGCGATTGTGCGAAACTGACGGCAAAAACTTAAGCAGCTGGTCGTTCTTTATGCGCAGTTGGTCTAAGAAATACGCGAGTCGTTGTTCTTTCGTCGTTGCGATCAGCAATCCAGCAGGTATACCGGTAAAACGTGAAAGGATAATGCTTAGCGAGTACACCTTTCGACGCTCCGGTTGGACTTGAAAATTAGCGGGAATCGATCTGATCGATCCACGTACTGTTGGGTGTTGGTACACGAGCAAACACGAGGAACGCAGCGACTCGAGATACGCCGAAACCTCGACTGCTCAAAGAACTGCCACGCGGTACAAAGAACACTTAATTTTTTATATAATTGTGATTTGATAATCCAAGAATACGCGTCCCGCTTCGACGATACTTAGAGTTACTACGATTTTAAGATACAAAATTTTTTGTAAACCGTAACTGTCGCCAGACGATGGTCGAGACAAGTCCCCTTTTCGATCAATTTTTTGACTATCGAAAGCGACTGAAATTTCCTAACGGGGGTGAAAAGTAAACGCGTTCGAGTTCTGTTATCGTCGGCGAATCGATAGGGCGTTCATTTTTTTTTGCGGTCAACGAAAATGTCGCCCTTGGCAATTCGGTAACGTTAAGGGAAACTTGACGAAAAGTAGGGGAACCGTGCGATTTCCGACTTCGAAGCGCAGAAACTAATCGACGAAGGATTTGTTAAAATTACCTGGGTTAGGTCTGGTCCAGACGCACGAAGGATAAAACGAGATCGTGGGCTTAAGGTTCTGACAAATTCTTAGCCGTACGTACTTTGATTGCACGCACAGAAAAGTGCGCGTTCGCGCACGCATATACTCGTAAATACGTGTACATAGTATATGCTTGTCACGAGTAAGCCGAAGGAACATGGTATATCATTAAACGAAAGCTTTTTCCTCTTAACTGGTACATACGTATACATATACATTATAAATATATACATATATCGCCTTGTTCGAGATCATTGGCGAATCATATTTTTTGACTATTGTATAGCCTTTTTTTTTTTTGTCGATGGGAAAGAATGAGAATACGCGCGATACCTTTGATTCCAACGTAAGCGTAGAAGCACTTTGAAATCTATTTGTCATTCGACCGATGGACTGGTGTATAGAACAAAATATTCCAGTCGCGATGATATTTTTACCAAGCGGAAAGAATGCCAGTTAATGGTGTAAAAGCTGGATAGCATAGAGAAACTTAAAATGTAAGACAGTTGGACGCGCCAGTAACCAAATACGAGAGAGTCGCAAACGTTCGCGTCGAAGTGCCGGTCGATAGATCGACACGATACTTAACGAGAAAGTCTTACGTTTTCGTTTTTTTTTTTCTTTTTTTTTTTTTTTTATATATATGTTTTCGTTAGTCGTACGCTCGCTACTATTAGAATTACGAAGTAAGGCTCGTATCGTAGGCAGCCATTGCGGAACATACGCAGCCGTAGATTCTCTACACGCATTTTGCGTCGTCCGACTCGTTCGAAGGCTCGTTTCGTTATCGGTCGCGAGACGGAACGCGTGTCGTTATGACAGAGCATGGGTTTACAACAACGTAAACGGCAACAATAACGTGAAACGAGAAATGGAAGTCTTGATCTACATGGATTTTCGTGGATAGATAATACCATATTTTCCGAGAGTTACGAGAGGATGTTGTTACTGTAAAGATATGTAAGTTTATTTATCGCTAATAAAAATGAACGTTTAAGAAAAATAAATGACAGTTAACGGTCTGTTTGTCGTGGAAACGAGTACCCCGTTTTGATCTAAGCTCTTTCCATTTTCATTGCTTTGTTCCGGTGGCGCGAATTCACGTAACATCGAGAAGATGAACGTGGAGATACGTGCCCCGTTATGTTTTGGTATCATAATTCTTTCAGTATGGACCGAGTTATCGTTCATTTTATTTGCGTATCGGTTGGACCGGGAACGGTAAGAAATAACGTGCCACGAAAAAAACGTTAGTTTATTAGATTTATTAGACCCTTTAAAATATTTGAAACAGCGTGCGGCTTTTGTTATTTGGCGTAGCAGTGAAATATCGTTTAATAAGGTACAGAGTACGAATCTCGAAGAGAGCAAAGCGATCAATATCGATTTAAAATTTCATTGTAGCTTCTCTCGAACCAGGTTTCAAAGCCCCGTTTATATTTTCGGCCGTAAATCGGGCCGTAGAGGGAAGGCCGTTCGCGTCGCATTCCATCGAGAGATTTTCAAAGTATGTATAAGCGCAAATTGTCGATCGTCGACAAATTATGTTTCGTCCCTCTGTCGCGATGGGCACGCGTAGTAGCTTTCGGGTTCGGCTTCGTCGATCGATCGTTTCACGGTATCGTTCGTGTTGTTCTTACGGTTACTTTAAACGAGATACAATGCGAACTAGATTAGACAAGAGTAAAATCGAAAAATTCACGTATCTTACGAGAAAAAATTAATCACGATCGAGTCGCGAGTATATATGTATATCGACGGACGAAACTCGATCAGAGTCGATAAATGTTCCGTTTCGTCGGTAGGTTTCTCTCGCGGACTGCTCCTGCCTCCCTCGCTGATTTCTCGCTTTTTACATCACCACCGTAAACCACCGAATATGATTCACCAAGATTTATCAGTAGATAGTTTTCAGCACAGATAACGAAGGAAGTTAGACGTTTGAGATTTTACGAGACTTGTTGAAATTTTATGTCACGCGATACGTGGGTTCTCGTAGGTACGATAGATCAGGCACGATTGGCATGCTATCTGGTTTTTATTCAAATATCCATTTTACGATTTACCTTTTCGCATCGAGTTTACGCAAGATTTTTCTGCTGCATACAATTTAAGAATGCTTAATCTGCGACAAATAAATCTGTTACAGACTATTTTGTCGGTTCAAGTAACTGAAGTAGACGTGCTTCTAACAAGAGACGAGTATCGATTGACTATATCAGTTTAAAATACGATCGGATAACATAAAATTCCACAAGACGTCGTATCTACGAATCTTACGATAGGTGCGATTAGGGCTTGTCGAAACGTTCCTCTGACATTTACCAAAGATCGCGAGCGTCGCGGCTAGATCGAAACGTTGGATTCGAAATTGCATCGTGATTTCGTTCCGACGTTAGAGAGTGGCACACTCTAACGGTGCGAAACGTAATCATCTTGCGCGTCGGCGCGAATTCGAAACCTTCTCGGTGTTGTTTCTCCTTGTTATTTTGTCGGGCTGTACGTCGGATAAAATTTTTCTCCGCGCATTGTATTCGCAACAGTGAATACCAGAGGAAAAACGGCGCAGAAATCGCGGTCGCTCGTCGCTGATGGCTCATCGTTAATTCGTTCTATCTAACACAGAGACGAGAATAGGTAAAATTCTAGTAACCCGGGGACAGCACCTCCTCGTCCTCGTCCTCTTCGTCGTCGTCGATTCCTGGCTCGCCGAGCGCGTGGACAAATTCTGGAACAACGAAATTCTCGTAAAAATACGTTCCTCGCTGCCTGAGACCAAGTTCGATTGTTCTATTCGGGTAAAGTATTTTATTAGAAAAGCAAGACGGTAAAATTCTATTGAAAATTTATCGGTTTCGAAGCACAAGACGATTCCTTGCTGCGTACCGTTCGAGTTTCTCATGACCGCGGTCGCGAAACGAGGAAAGTGTAATTGGCAAAACGCGTGCATGAAAGCTTACCGTAGAAATCGATTCGTCCGTCCCCGTCCACGTCCACTTCCTTGATCATATCCTCGACTGAAACACAGTGAAAGCAGCTTGTATCTTGTACTTGATTCAAGCTGAAATGTTTCACAAATCTCCCCAGACGGACGGGAAGAACCGTCGGTGGTTAGTTTTCCGGCAGTTTCCCTCTCTCTCTCTCTCTCTCTCTCTTTTGAAATTGTACAACCGCGTACGTTTTACCAGAACGATTACAGAGTGGTCAGACAGACTGACGGAAGGTGGAAATTAATATCGCCGCTATTACCGCTACCCGTTCACCGACATGGCAAATATTGCATTTGGCTTGATTAAAATCACCCATGGACGATCGTATGCTAATCGACGCGACGGGCGTGCAATTTAATTTTTAACTCGACTTCCCCGCCGCACCGCCGCGCCAGCACTCGGGTTTCCGTTAAATCTGTCCGACGAGATATCGCGCGAGGTATTAATATGCCGCATTACTTTTCCGTCATGAAAAGTGCACCGACAATTCCCCGCGTAAAACCGATAAACCGTACAACCTGAAAGCGGAAAAAACAATTGGTTCGCCGCGAGTGAACGTTTTTTGGCTTGTTGCGGTGATTTCGAACGAGCGGTCCGGTCTATTCAATTCGAATTCAATATTCAGGGAAATCGCGATTAACAGAGTCTCGCGAAACAATGCGACGATTTAGCGATGGAGACGAACAGATCTTATCATTATATGATGCATAGCTACGCGCAAACTTGACAAGATTCAGCAAGATTCAAATTATTTTCAATCAAGAACACGTCCTCGTCATTGCGAATTAATATTAATAAATATCTATCGAAATAATTAGAACGTTAGCAAGAGACGAACGTACATCTAATCCCGTTATTCGCGAATCAGGTCCAACGAGCTCTTCGTTTTTTGCGGTCTCTTAATTTAGTGTTAATTCCAATCACGCTTGCCAGAGACTCGCGAAAGAACTCGCACGAACTTGTCCTAGAACCAGAGAATAAATCCTTAGCGTCCAACTTTATTTCTTCGTAGGATTTCCTCTTCCACTGAAAAGAACGAAGATGTACAGATCCAGGGTTTCCAACGACCCCATCCACGAGGACAATTACCACGTAATGACAATAGGAAAATCGATCTCAAGACCGTTCTGAACTTCTTCGTTCTTTCGATATCGCTGGAAAAATACCGCTCCCGCAGGACATTTCCCACCATTAGCGTAATCGGTTCAATGCCTCGCGGCAATTATTAATACGAGCAGAAATACTATGTGTACAGCACAAATTGATTCCGATCAATTAGTAACCCCATCCCATGTACCGACGTATTATTACGTCGTTCACTATAGACAGAGGTCAATAGAGGGAACTCAATTTACCGTCTCGCAGGAGGGGGTTTGTGCGCGCGTTCGTACGCAATCGTACGCTATTAACGCAGAGCTGGAAAATTTATACGAGATTATTATCCTCCTTGATTGTTCGCGATGAAAGTTTCAGGAAAATTTAATACAAGATAATAAGGAAATTGAACTAATTACGATCAGCCTATTTTCTTTCGTTTGAGTAATAAGAATAGAAAATCGCGAATCGCTCCAACAAGCTGGATTTGCCAATCGATTTTAACCGGACAGTTTCTATCTACTTTTCCAAGTATTATTGTACATGTTCCTGTCTTCTTCGACTCTTTTTAAATCGTCTTGTACATCCGACATGTCTCAATTTTCGAGATTCAATTTTCTATAAGTTGCCGATAATAATTGTTTCCGATGTTAAAGGTACTTTGATCGTTTTTTCAGTCGATGTCAAGAATTCTATCGAAATTAAAATACCGACAAAGTATGAGCGTATTTCTTGGAGGTTCCTCTAGGAAATAAGATCGTTTATAGGATAGGGTGTTTTACAATTGACATCGTAATCGCGCAACCAGCTGCTACGGCCAACAAAGCGCACCGCTCTCAAATTATATTTCAATTAACTTGTCTCTTTTAACGCGTCCCGAATTTGATAATATTTTCGTCCAATTTGAAACCCTTTTTGACACTAATTAACTCCGATAAAGAACTTTTCGAGTTCTCTTCGCGCAGGGAATTTGCATATTTTGATTTGTTTTATCTTTTTTAAACTTGATATGGGACCGAACGTGTTATCGGGCGTAATTACACGAAACAAAAGTTTTGTTACGAAGGAGATAAAGGATTCGAAGCGATCGGCTCGAACGCCGGGATGCGATGCTTGCTTTAAATTGCAAAAAAGTTGACAACATTTCTGTGACGCGCATTTTGAACGGGCTTCGGATCAGCCTCCCCCGCGCTGTTTATCGGCACATCTTATTTTCCATGACTTGGAAAAATCCAGCGATAGAATGACGATTCGCGGGCGGTCGTAATGACTCGTCAAATAAAATTAAAGATGGTAGGTTTTCTGCCCGTGCCAGATGAAAGCGAAGAAACGAGAACAATGGAGACAAATACAACCAAGAAGGGAATCGTATTCTGTTTGGAGTAATAATAGTCGCTCGCAGTTTTCTTAACGTTTTCTTAGATATTGCAATCTTCCAAAGAATATAAAGTTACGTTATTTTCTTTTTCGAGCGTAATCAATTTTTCTTATATCCTTTTGCAGGAAATATGATGGTCGTATTTTTCCCGTTGATAAATTTCACTCGATGATACAAATTCCAAAGATCTTGAGCACTTGGATAATTCGATGGATTTCAGTTTCGCGCAAAGGACAACCGCGCCGCGCGTACTTGTCAAACTTTATCCTTAAATTTGTACAACGATTTGACAAACGCGTCAGGAATGGAAAATTGGAATCGATTTATCGAGGAAACGAATGGTCGTCGAGAAAAAACAAAATTGGTATCCTTGGAAAAGTTTCGTCGTGCGTCTCGGCTCGTTTTGTTTTCCAAAGTATCGTTTTCTTCTTGACGAACTTTCTTCGCTGTTCGCAAGTTTCTAAACGACGCCGCAATTTTCCAGGATCTGATTCTCTGGTTCGATTAACTTGCAAAGCGATTAAATACTATTTACGAAAATAAAATAGAACCGTTTCTATTCGTAACTGTTGCGCTATTGTTTAGGTTATTATGACTGTCGCCAAGTCCTGACAATTAATACGTACTTTCCTCCTCGGACAAGTCCTCTCCGAGACATTGTAGCACAGCTCTAAGATCGGACGCGGTGATGTAGCCGCGATTATGTTTGTCGAACACCTGAAAGCATAAGAAAAAGAAAGAAAAGTAATAGCAACATCGTGAAATGGTCCCGGTCGAAAATAATGGAAAGAGGGTCACGGACCTCGTGGACAGAAATAATCGGCGAAATAGATTCATTTATTTCGAGGTAAATGGAGCATCCGGCCAGAGAAAATGGTAGAAGGCTTTTTCTTTCGCTATTCGGAGTAGAGAGGGTTCTCTTTGAAGCGCTCGACTATTGCGGCGACGTGATAACCGAGGCTCGCGAAAAAATGCCACCACGGGAATAATAACGACGCTGCCGCCTATTATTTATCGTCTCGCGCCGTTTCCAGACGCGGCTCGAACCATTGGACTTTCGCAGAAAATAGAATCGGAATTGATGCTGCTCTGGGGAGCGCTATCCGTGGCCTTCGACTCTTTCGGATGGCCCGGCTTAATACAGCGGCAACGGTTGTTATCCTCTTCCTGAATATTACTTGCTTAGATCCGAATTAATGACTTTACCTTGAATCTCGGAGAGAATTCGCTCGCCCATTTAGACTCTTCGTTAATGCGTCAGTTTTTGGGCCGACTCCTGGAGGGGGAATCGATGTCGTGTCATTTGGATATAGTAAATCTTGAATAATCTTTTATAGCGCTCTCATCGCAAAAATGAAACAATTTTTATTGCGAATATTTTCTTCATAATACGTATCTTCGCGAAATATCATCTCATATTATAGGGCTGACGTCCTATCTTTCCTCTCATATCTTCCTACAATACCCTCAGTATAGAGGGTAATTCTAGAAACTGGGTCGCACTATAACTGCTTTTTTTAAACGAAGATAAAAGTTTGGTAGAGAAACAACTTAGAGAAGGTCTTCCTTACATGCAGTACGCAGACGCAAGTTCTCTTTTTAATGAAACCGTACATGGATTTCCTTCGTTCTTCCGAGTATAAAAGGATTAGATAAAATCTTGGAAAAGAATTTCGGCTGCCACGCAACCACGATTCTACGAATATTCTTGCGCGGTCGTACGTTTCGCATAGTCTGATACTACGCGCCAAAAGGTAAAAAAGAACCATCTTTGCCCGGATTCATGGTGAAGTGCTTTCAAGATTCGTACGTTAAGCGTCAAACTAACTAGGTTTATCTTTCCGTTTACGCCACGAGCACTCACCGTGGAGTAGCAGTGCATTTGTATCGAGTTAGCTCAATTCATTACTATATTTTGTTGCTCATAGAAATAAAAACGTGTTATCTCTTGCCAGAGTCTTGGAGCATTTTATATTGAGAAAATTGATGAAACAAATTTACAGAAAAATCGCGTTCTCGAGGCAGTTTTCTAAATATAGAACGTTTCCGTCCACTTTGCAGCATGATTTATTCAGGTGGATCGTGCAGACGTGCAGCCGGTACCATGCACGATTACCGTACTTTCGGGGAAGTGGAAGATCTCATCGATCCGTTAATTTCCCTCGCCGAGGTGTGCAAGACTTAGGCTTTTGATACGTCAATCGCTGTTGAGAAACAGGAATAGTTCGAAGAGTTCGGGTCCAAAATCAAACATCGAAGTTCCTAATAATTAACCGCAAATGCAAGTGTCGCAACAAACGTACATATAATTTTTATATCTTAAACATACTAAAGAAGTCACATTCAATTTCTACAGTCAAAGGACACACACAGAACCGTGATCCATAGATTCGTATTGTTTGTTCTTTTAAAGGTATCCCGTTACGAGATCAAACGCGACAAGATCGTAGATCACGGATCACGAATCGATCCACCCTGTAGAGTCCTTATTTCTACGACTCTGCTATTATAGTTTAACGATTACACGCCTTTCTGTTTCTTCGGTCGGTGGAACTCATTGACTGAGCTCCGTTTCCGGGAACAAGAGCCGGAGGTGCGCGAAGGAAATGTTGTCCCATGGAAGGAAATGGGAAAAGGGGCTTGAGAAAAGTCGTCGCAGGAAAAATTCCGCTCGACGCGTCGACGACGCGGCAATCCCAGACACCAGATAGAAGCTCGACCATTCTAGGCTGAATGTAGGAAATCGCACTCGGGCAACCATTAAAGCAATTACCAAATCATTTAGCTCCCTAACTATTCCATTGTTTCATCATACGTATCCACTTGTACGAGTGCCGAGTAGACAACACGAACGTCATAATTAACACCATTGTCGTCTGCATATTCTAATTTTGCGCGCATATCCCGGTAAAACCAATGATCCAGTTTTCTCGAGTTGTCTACCGTGTGACAAACCGACACTATGGTGCAAAGATCATCCATGGATTTGTTCGGAGGGCGATAGAGAAAGATGTTTATTTGTTATCGGTAGTAATCCGGTGAGCTGTTGGCAAATCTGATTATGCCTTACCTTTCGCGATCTCTGATTTAAAATTTCGGCGTGTTTCTCCATTCCGTCGCTCGTTTGTCACGCAGAAACGCGCAAGTCACGAAATAAATCATACCCCTCTTAAGTACCATGGCCGCGTTCTTTCTGCCGCATCGCGCCTGATAACAGACAAAACTTGGCGGGCTTCGCGTGGTTTATCGTGTCTACGTGAATCCAGGAGAAATCGTTGAAATCTCTCGCGAGAAAGAAACAAAGAAAGGATCAGCGCCGTCCACGAAAATGAGAATCAAAACCGTGACCGTAAAACGCATAACACGACAGTGAATTCACATGCGAAACATTCAGAGCGGATTTCCATCTTTGGGAAAAGAACGCGTGTCTAGTTTTATGATATTAAAATTGATCAGATATCGATAACCGCCGTTACAAAGCTACTGTCGTTGATTAAGCAATGGTCAATTATCTATCGGAAAGGTAGATTCCTAGTTAGCGAATGGTCACGATCCACGTGTAACGTGCTTGATCGTTAACGCGATGAACATACATACACATACATACCCACCTCCGCACTCTTCCTCGTTTACATTTGTCCCGCTTGTTCCTTTCCGTTGGCCCAGCCACGTAAATCTACAATATATTTGTGCTCCGTTGCTCCAGGGACACGTCCTGAATTTTCAACCTGGTCCTCTGCTACTATAGCGTTACTTTACCTCTCAGTTCGCTCTATTCCGAATCGTGGAATTCTTTCTCCAGGCTTTATTCTCTCTCCACTTTACTTACTGTTCTCTTCTGCGGACGATAAGCTATTTACTTGGCATAGTTTACATATTCATCGTTGCTGTGGTACAACGCAGCATCCTTGTTACGATACGTAAACCCTCTTACCCCGAAGCCATTTTAGTCGGATCTTGTAAAACTTGTCAATATTGTTTATAAAGCGATTGTAAGCTGAAAACTGATACGCATGAAAGCGAACCGTTTCGATACGAAATAGAGATATAATAAGTTTTTTAAAATTCAACCTAACAAAAGTTGTACGAATCGGGGAACGTATATGCAGAAAACAATCGATTTAAAATTTACCTTCAAACTTTGAAGCAATTTCAAAATTATGCAAATTAATTCAAATCTTACGCTTGCTGGATTTTCGAACGCTGTACGTGTGCTTAAATTTAAGAGGATTAATACCGTAAGAGCCAGACAAAATAGGTACGCTGTATAAGTTAGGTTAATATTGCTGATGCCCACGTACGGTAGCCTCTCGCTTATGTTCATGAATTTTTCCGTCGATACTATTCCCCGAGTCTGAAGGTTTCGAAAAATACTGCGTAATCTCTTGATCGACCATTAAGACGGAAACAGTCGCGTTGCTTGTTAAATTTCTGAAAATTGCCAAATATCTCTTCCGTTAAATTGCAAAGTGTTCGATAAAACCGAATGTCCCCACCCCCCGGGCTAGTTTTGATAATCGAGGTTCTGCAAAAAATGCTTAACTTGCAACGTATGGAATAGAGAAACCATAGTCGCCCGTACGAACGTAACAATCGTTGTCATAGTTTTTCATTGTCTCGTCCTCCTCTCTCGCGAATATTTATCTCTAGCCCCTTCCTTCTCTGTCCGTCTTCCTCTCTGAAATGTAATAAACGTTACCAGTATATCTTTGGCCGTTTTATCCCCGTTTCTGAAAGGTTTTTCTCGGTGGCCCGTCACCGGGGTGCCCTCGCTCGTTCGCTTTTCTCCTTTTTTCCGCGTTTTCCGCTTTTTTTCAACGATGCTCGGCCACGATTCGACTGCCGGCGCGCCAACCAGCCCGCGGAGATTAAAATATCGACTCGGTAACTGCGATACGTCGCGTCTGACCCGAATGCCGACCCGTTAAACTCTTTAAGCGCGCGTCAGGCGATTTAAAGGGATCTAGGTGAATCTTTCGACGCGAGTGCTCGTTCGGCAATCCGATCGTTAACACTAAACCTACCGGCACTTGATGTATGCCCATTCCTACCATGACCGGTCAAACGACCAGTCTTTCTTTTTCTCTTTTACGAGGCAATTCTAACAACCTATACAAAAATATTCAATACTTTTACTCTAAACTTGCATTAGTGCTTTAATAGTATTACCAAATTAGTAATTTTCATTGGGTAGAAGATAAAACGCTCTTGAAAACAAAACACCCTGTATACAAATTTAAATTCATCTTCGATTAAATGAACAATTTATAGTCCAGTTTTATCCCACATCAGTCGTATGATCAATAGGAAGTGTTGCAACTACTATGGATATGTAGCGTCAAAGTAAATTTCAAAATAAACATAGAAGACAACATGAATTGTAATAGTTGATATGCTCATCAGATAGGGGATGAAATGCCCTTTAAAATGAACGTTCGAACAAGTCGATAGCTTCATTAGTTCCGGAGATATAGTGATTTTAGTTTCAAGTCGATACGGTGGCTAGTTCCGGAGATATAAGGGTTCGAAGCGTTTGTTTACTTTTTTACTACGGCCTTGTCAAGGCCGTTGACCGGCACGTGACGCGTGGGAACTAGGTCACTCGGCCACTCGGTCACGAGTCACGTGCGAGAAAGAGAGCTCCGGCGCGACGCGTCAGACGGAGACGGCGATAGTCGAATTAAGAAAAATTACCTTTTACATAAATTACGATATCT